TAAATGTTTTCTTCCTGTATTCACTCCCCATTCCTTTATTCATCAGTCACAGAGAACATCTCACACACCGGTGATGAGATTTTGGACAAACCTTTCAGTATGATGGCAGTCTGTCACTGCTACCCAGCTGGGAGCTGGAGAAAGGATCAGTTTCAGCTGACTAATGGAGGATTTGGCTACAGGCTGAGAAACTGAGCAAGCTCAGATCACAGACAGTTTCCGTCTACGTGTAATGTTGTTAAAACCATACAAAATAATGGCCCTGGGGTGATGTAATGTGCTTCTGGCAACTATCTTGGCAGTCCAAAGCTTAAAACAACTTACAGCATTCATAAATAACCTGAAAGTCACAAAAATTTGAAACAAATGTCTCAAATGTTTTCTCTGTTTGCTAGTTTTCTCATATGTCCTAAACTTCTCTAGAAACAAATGATGGAGTGGGATGTGGATGTATCCTGCACACTAATACTCAATAAAACTGAGTATTTCCAGGACTGGGAATACAGTTCAGATGTGAACCAAAAAACAGAAAAAGCTTCAAAAGTTCATGATTTTACGACTTGAGTCAAATTATAGCTTTTTCTTGCTGCTGTTACACCCAAATTTCCCCTGAGGGACAATTAAAAGATTATTCTATTCCATTATGCCATGTCAGTAGTTATATATAGCATACTTTCTCTTAGTCAGGTTAACAAAACTGAAAGAAACCTTTGTTCAGGTTAAAGGTACAGTCAGTCATTTCTTTGAGGCCACTTAATAAAACAAATGTTGTAATCATAAATATAAATTAATTAGTGTGTAATTATTTCTTAGGACAAAATGATGCATTCTCATAAACTTAGTACATCAAAGGAGAAGAGAACTCGTAGACAAATTTTATTTTGTGTCAGCACATTCAGACTCAAGATATAGTCCATCCTCTCCTTCCTAACCTTAAAGCTAAGAACAAGCTGGCTACACAACAATTGCTTTAAGCTAACATCACACCTACTAATGCCAGAGTCCTAGAAATAACACTTTCTCTCTGGTAAACAGTTTTTATATTCTCACATCGTACAAGAGTTTATTCGCTAAGCCTCGGAGTCCAACAATGTTAGCCTCACTTCAATGAAATTTTCACCAACACCATGCAACGCATACTGACAGAAAAGTTCAGGATATCCTCAAAAACTCACACCAATATCACTGTGATCACAGAGAAGTGAGCTTTACTGACTCATCAGACCCCATTCACAAAGTTTTACAGTCTCCTGCATAGTAAAAAGAAGCGGATACTTCTCACGCAGCATTGACAGCTGAGGTAAGCTGCAGGCTGAGCCTAACCAGATTTTTTTGAGGTGACTCAAGGACAAAAAAAAAAAAAGCTAAACCCTGCAAATATTTAGTGGACACATATCACTTTTTATTTATTTTTAAATGTATTTATTTTTTTGATTTATTGTTACATGTTGCTATTATTCAAATATTAGAAAATATAAAAATGTCTTTTTTACACAATTGGTAGCAGACACATGCTGGCCAGCCGTGGCCACTATGGCTCTTTTGCTGACTAAAGCACGTTTGTCCTGCAGCAGCCACTGTAGCTCGGATTATACACTTTGGGAGGGGGAAGAAAACAATTAAGTCGCTGAATTCTTGCAGGTTACATCCCATGCTAATTTTGAAACCCATCATTTAGCTTTAAAACTAAAACCATCACCAGCTGCAGTATCATCATGCTACTTAGACAAGAAGCCAAACAGAGACAGTTCTATCACCGTGTCTGGTTTTAGGTACTGGAACCATGAGGCAACACTGCCATCACAAGTCAACATAGACTCAACATCTTGCTCTGTTATTTTCACCCAGAATACCATTAATGAAAAAACAACAAAAATTGCATTGCTACATAACCGCTAGCAATGCTATTCACTTTAATGATAAAGAATTCATCAGCGAGAGACCATGTCCGAGCATGACGTCCGAGCAGGCACTGAGGAGAGTGAACACAAGGAAAGCGGCGGGGCCAGACGGCATCACCGGCCGTCTGCTGCGCTGCTGTGCTGACCAGCTAGCAGGTGTGTTCACTTACATCTTCAACGAGTCCCTGGCGAAGTCTGTGGTCCCCACATGCTTCAAAAGATCCACCATCATCCCTGTGCCCAAGAACAGCAAACCCTCATCCCTGAACGATTACCGGCCAGTTGCACTGACCTCGGTAGTAATGAAGGTGTTTGAGAGGCTGCTGAAGAACATCATCTCCTCCTCCATCCCAGACACCACAGATCCGCTGCAGTTCGCCTACAGATCCAACAGATCCACAGAGGATGCCATCGCCCACGTCCTACACACCACTCTCAGCCACGTGGACAAGAAACAGGGTAACTATGTGCGAATGCTGTTTGTTGATTACAGTTCAGCGTTTAACACAATAGTGCCCTGCAGACTGTTCACAAAGCTGAGGGATCTGGGACTTAACAGCCGTCTGTGTGCATGGGTGTTGGACTTCCTCACTGGCAGAACTCAGGTGGTGAGGGTGGGCAGGTGCTTCTCCAACAGCATCACCATCAACACAGGAGCACCTCAGGGATGTGTCCTCTCGCCACTGCTCTACTCCCTCTACACTTCAGACTGTGTGGCCACCCATGGCTCCAACACCATTGTGAAGTTTGCTGACGACACAGTGGTGTTGGGTGCCATCTCCAACAACGATGAGGCGGCCTACATGGATGAAGTGAAGAATCTGGCATCGTGGTGCCAGGACAACCACCTCCAGCTGAACGTCAGCAAGACCAAGGAGCTGGTGGTGGACTTCAGAAGGGGTCAGCACAGAGACTACAAGCCCATTATCATCAATGGAGCTCCAGTGGAGAGGGTGCAGTCCTTCAAGTATCTTGGTGTCCACATCTCCTCAGACCTGACATGGGCTGCCCACATTCAGGTCCAGACCAAAAAGGCTAGGCAGCGCCTGTATCACCTACGACAACTGAGGAAGTTCAGGGTCTCTCCAAAGATCCTCAGGATTTTCTATACAGGCGCTGTGGAGAGCATCCTCACACAGAACATGACATCGTGGTTTGGGAACAGCTGTGTGAAGGACCAAAAAGCTCTCCAGAGAGTGATCCGTACAGCAGAACGCTGCTGCAGGATTGCTCTCATATAAGTGTATATGAGAGCATGAGGGTGGGAATGGATGTTTGTATATGTGTGTGCCTGTATGTCTGTGTCTATATGTCAGGTTGGGTGTCAGGCGCCACCTCTCTGGGGACATCTTAGGCCCTCCAAGGTATGGAGGCCTATCTCCCCCTACCACCACTTCCCCTGCCAGTGGGATCCAGCATGTGGTGGTGGTTCTTTGTGTCCGGGGATGGGCGTCCAGGTACACACCGGCTCACTCCTTGGCGGCCGCTTATCGGGGCCTGGAGCCTGGGGCTTGCTCGGGCCACTTCGGAGGTGGGGTGCCCCCGGCCTCTCGGCCTGGGGCTCGGTCACTCAGGCACGGCTGGCTGCCGGCGGAGCTCACGGGCGCGTCACTGCAACTCCCCCTGGCTTCTGCTCCGCGGCTGCTGAGTGAGCCCTCATCTGGGACTCTCCTCAGCTCTTTCTGGGACAGTGGCGCGGCTGCCCCTCTGTTGGTCTTCCTTGGTCTCTTGTGTTCTGGGGGCCTCTGGATGTCTGGAGTTTTGATCTCCTCCATACCTGCTTCATGCCCTGGAGGACGGGGCTGTGGCCCCCCCACACCCTCTAGCAGATCATTACATGAAGGAACCTTTTAAAAAAACAAGCGCGTCCATGCTCACAGGTGTACACACGGGTGATCACACCCACAAACTACACCCTTTTTGGCTCCTACCTCAAAGCACACTGTGTTCTGTTGATCTTATGTGCTGCACAATAATGTTTAATATTTAGTATTTACTGTCATATTCCCATATATCATTGTGATGTTGTTTATTCTATTACTCTTGTTCTCTTCTGCTTGTTTTCTTTTTTCTTTCTCAGCAGGTGATCCAGGTGATTGATATATGCATTTTTTTTCTTTTTTTTTTTTTTTCTTTTTCTGCTCATTCTGTTGGTTTTTGTTTTTGCCCTTCTCCCCCGTCCCTCTTCTCAGCTGTTTCTCTTTCCCTCTTTCTTTCTCCCCTTCTTTCCCCCAGTCAAGTCTGTCCCGTATTCAGTAAGTGAAAATAAAATAAACAATAAAAGGTGAATCAAATGGACCATTAGGCAAGGCTGGGATGGTCAATTTGGTAAAGTAAATCCGTTGGGCATCTTTCTTTGCCTTTAGACAACAATTCTGATGGCAAAAGAGCCAAACGGGACAGGCAAAAAAAAAAACAAAAATAAAACAATAGGATTGCTCTCCCCCCGCTTCAGGACACCTACACCAGGAGATGCCGGACTAGAGCAGCGCAGATACTGAAGGACCCGTCCCATCCTGGCAACAAACTGTTCCAACTTCTGCAATCTGGTAGAAGGTTCCGCATCTTCCGGGCAAGGACAGAGAGACTCAAGAGGAGCTTCTATCCCCAAGCCATCCGTGCCCTAAACACACACACCCGCCCTCTCACATCATCTATAATTGACTGAGACAGGACTCTTCCAGACACTAAACCAAGGCACAATGTACATTTCAATTCCTTTAATTTTAAATATGTTTATATTGTCTATCCTGTAAAATAGTCAGATGTCTATTCATATTAATGTACAGAATTCACCTGCTTGCTGCTACTACTGCACATTCACCCAATGTATATACTATATATATATAATGTTCTTCCTCTACACCCCCCCCAATTTTTGCACATGTCGAGGAGCGTGTCAGGCTACATTTCACTGTGTGTTATACTTGTATAACTATGCATGTGACAAATAAAGAACCTTGAACCTTGAACCTTGAATTGACATTTCGACACCAGAACGTTGTCAAAGACGTACAGTCTAACTGCACTACAAGAGCAGACGCTGATAATGAAGAGAAGATAATCCCCACCCAGCTGTGTGATACCACGGTAACTGACCTGCCAGTGGTGGGCCTTGATAAGTTGATTCGCCCCATGACGGGCAGGTAGAGAGAGTCAGGCATCTTCTCGCTGCGACACGCCTCAATGCTCAGATACTTGAATATGTGAACTTTGCCCTTTATACAGATCTGAATAATGGGAGGAAAAAGGACTCAAATCAGCATCAAGTAAAAGTCCAGCTTTACTTTGTTTTCTACATCATTTCAGCCTTTATTCACAAAGACTGCTGAGTCACTTGTGTCTTTTTTTAGCTCTTGCAGCTGCTCGTGCTTAACATTTCCAAAAGCAGGTACATAGCTTTATACTACCTATTGCAATACTGCTGCTATGCTGCTATGATCATGATGATTGCTGTAATGGCCAGATAATAGCCCTGTGCAGGAACATTAAGCTGAAATGATACATTTAAAAATATAAATTTATTATGAATTTCTGTTTCTTATATTAGGATGGTATCTACAAAAAATAAAGTAGGTTTAATTTTCAGAGATGTGCACCAAGAATTTATGTCGAATCATGACTAAGACACAAAGAATAGTGGAAGATATAAAGTACATTAAGACAAAAGTGTGTGTGTTTGTTTATGTACCTGTGCGGGTGGACTCTGCAGTGGATTGTTTTCTAACTGTAGAGTCTGGAGCTGTTTCATCTTCCTGTAACACACTGGGATGGTGGACACTTTGTTACAGGAGAAATCGAACTTCACCAGAGGAAGATCAGCCAAGTCTGTAGGAAGACACAAACGCACAAACATCAGGCAAACAGCTCTGGTTATCTGCTCCTTCAGAGCGAGCAGATTTGTTTTGATTTGGCTTATGTGATATACAATGCAGCACATAAGGGGATTATATCTCAGCAGAAAACTTCAGGGTTATCTTTTTTTTTTTTTACCCAAACCATGTTTGTTTTCCTTTTACTTTCTGCCCAACAATAACTCGAATGGAGACGCCCAGGAGGTTTAAAGTCTGACCCTTTTGGTTGATTTTTGCAGAGGACAACACTCAAAATTTGAGACAAACTGCACCTTTGAAATGCCAGCAAACTAATGGATTTAATCTTCCCGGGACTTTACCCCTGCTGTGAAAATGCTAATCACAATGTGCTGGATGAACTTTCACTCCCCGGAAAGTTCCAGAACATTCGTTTTTTCGGGGGGAAATTAATGTTCCTGGAACAGCGAGTGGAAAATCACTTTTGGAGAACTTAGGCGTTTCTCAGTGTCTTCTGTTTTCATGTAATCCAGACTGACTCCATGGTGGTGAGATCTGTGGAGGTCGGATGATCTCTGCCAGAACACTTTGTTCTGTTCTTGTGTCTGAAGATAGCTCTTTGTGAATTTTCTTGCTGCAGAATTATTTTTGGACTGCTTAGCCCTCTCTCTGATGGCACCAATGAGAAAGATTGCATCAACCTGCAATCTTAACCAGGCTGAAATGAGTGAATTCTTGTTATTTTAAACCAGGAATTCTTAAAATAGATGCTAAAGAACAACATATTTGGGCAGGGATATTGGAAAAAGTGGCATTTATTAAATATGAAATGGTCAGAGCAAGATGCCCGCTCTTCTGCATCAGCTGCATAGACCATACCACCTGCCCAGTCAGGTGTGGGACATGGGAAAACATGCATTATCTAGTTTCTGCTGACATGCACACGCTTCAGTGATTTGCATAGAATTACAGATATTCAGGTGTTTTCCATAACACTACACTAAGAGGCTTCAGCACACACATAACCTGATTTTAAAATAGACCGATACCAGCAGTTTGTTTAGTGACAGTGGAAACCCCCCCTGCTGCTGATTTAGTTGATCTCAAGTAGACTACACACACTTACACTTTCACATGGGTAAAACCACCAACATGTTTCCCACCAGATAACACAATGCAGCTCTTGTTGTTATTTTCAGACTAGGTTTGTAATTGTTAGCAGCCCAGAGTCAAACTGTTTCTCTTCATGTGAACTTTATTCCTCATTAAATCCAAAATAACCTGGAAAACCTGGAACACCTCTCTTACACAGCGTTTTACTGGAGTGACTAAGCTGTAATTTAACAAAAGTGCCTGTTTTATGTTTAAAGAGTTATGTAGAGTCAATATACAAGCGTGCACACCTTCACAGAGTACCCAATATGTTAACAAGTTAGATGAAGAGGTTGACCACACGCTTGATTACAGATTCCAGGTTGCAGCAAGCTTTGGAACCAGCTTTTAAACTAAACACAGTACATTTCTCTATGTATTTCTGCATTTCTTCCCACGGTATTGGGTTTTACACTGGAACAGTGATACAACACTGCTACCATGAGATCCAACTGGACATAACACCATCCCCCACCCCCCTTATGGTGGTACCATAGACAGTATAAGAGATGAACGTAGCTTCTGTGGGCAGATAAATGAAGCCAATGCTGAGGTGCCTTAAACTTGCATGCCTTATTTGTATGGCATTAGATTGCAATAGCTGTGGTTGCAAAAACACTTCCAGTCCTAAAGAAGTGTACAGGTATGGGATTTCATTTTTGACTGTTGTAAGCACTCTACTGTTCAGTTTATGGGCATGGTCATTTATGCCAATAAACTCAACCTTGAAGCTAGCTTCCAAGTACCCAACCTTATTATAACAACAGGAACCTGGAGACCTTGAAGCTCACTTCAACTGCACTCACTGAGTGCAGTTGACATTAACTGAGCTAATGATATTTAGCTCAGTTAATGAGGTCTTTGCGCCTAAATCTACAATTAGTCGATTTAGAATGTAATTTTTTAGAAAGCGAGAATTGCAATGAATGAAAGGGAACAAATGCATTTTTCAAAATATCAAACTGTTTCTTTGAGCGTAGCATGAAAATGGGAAACAGAGAAACACAGAATCATTTTTTCAAAAAGTTAACACAGATCTAAAACTTACCCTGAACTGCACTCAGACTATTAGCTTGCTAATGTTATCCAATGCCTGTTTTTCCCAGCTGCTTGGCTCTCCCTGATATTACGTGATTTGGAATTTATTACCAGAGTCACTGTAAGCTCATCTAAATTTTAAAAAGGCATTATATTTCTCACTGTGAAGCAATTTATTTCTCTATCTTTTCTAAGTCTTTGCAGTTATATAATTAACCTTTCTTTGAAACCTTTTAGCTGAGGATAAACTGTGAAGGTTTTTAATGGTGCCTTTACCTAGACTAAACAGTCATGTACAAGAAATGTATAAACTTTCCGGACTCCTGGTCCACCAAACGCATTGTTCTTATTTGTCTTCTTTCCCTGTATAAGATGTCGAAAAGAAATTCTCTATGTGAGTGTATGTGTGTGTTTACAGATCCTCAGACGGATGTTTGGGTTTGTGGGCAGAAACCAATGGGGGAACCATATCCTGCAGACTGCTAATGATGCGCAGCTCAGGAACCCATCAATTTTGACAGCATGATCATTACAGAGTTTTTAGACAGTTTCTCATAATTAAAATCACGTGTAGGCGGTAATAATGTCAGCTAAGCACATGTGATGGTGTGAGCGGTGACACCAGAAAGCATTCCTCTGGTTACTGGATAAAAATATTCTCTATACAGTACTCGATTAAATTATGCATAAACATATGTTCCCTTATGCCTTGAGATCACTCAGGACAAATGTGTAAATTTCATCTATAGTGCTCTAACAATTTTATTATAAAACAATCTGACTTTAAAACCAAAAAAACAACAGCAGCAGGCCAATCATGACAGCAGGGGAGACAATTCCTATAAAAGGTACAAACTACAAATTCTCTTTTCACTGCGTTCCCTTCATCTACTCGTAGGACTGGACTCAAAATCTGAGGTTCTAGATCTTGTGCTGAAACACAAACAAAATATACTAGGGTTCACAAAGTTTTTAACCTGCAACGGTATACAAAAACGGGAAAAAAAAACTTGCAAATTACTCCTAAATCTTTTTTAAAAGAACAATAAACAGAAAACTTTAAAAGAACTGAGGCCTCAAGTTATCTAGCAGTCTGTTTACATATGTTCAGATATGCACAGCATCGAATCTGACTGTTGCACACCACCTCACAGGTCTGGAGATCTGAGAGCTGGGCTGATATGAACCATTTTCCTGGTCTTAGTGAACTGTGGCTGTCTGATGAGAAATCTGCAAAGTAGCTGTGCCTGAAATAAAACACGATAACTGCTGATTTACTTTAGATGTTACACTTTGGGCCTGAGTCACTCAGGCTAGAGACTAGATGAAGATTTCAGACATGGCTCGTAGTTCTTTTCACAATGCAGATTTTTGTTATAACTAAATTACTAAATTTTTACAAGACCATCCATGTTTTCTTCTTTCTGGGTTTGACATACTGTTGTACAAACTGTGTTGATAAATAGCTGCTAATAGCATTATTAGATGACTTATTACTTATTGAGGTACAAACTTGCAGAAGCCTCCTCTGATGTCACTGGAAGGAATATGAAATGTATAAAGGAAAGTCTTGCAGCCTTGATGCATTATGCTGCTAACCAAAGCTGCTGCTGCTGCCATGATAATTCTGGCTTTAAAGATCATTTTTCCTACCAGCTCTGATCTTCTAGTTAGAGTCTGACTCTCTGACTTTATGCTATTGCCACCCTGAGCTTGGCCGACCTTTAAAAAGCCCTCAGCAGTCATGGTGGTCTTATCTCAGGGACTCTTCAGAGCTGCACAAGTTCAACAGATATTAAATCAAAAACAACATCCCTCCCTTTGTCGGGGCTGCCGTCCAGTCTGCCTGGTTGAAGCCCCCCTCCCCCCAGCACCGTGGTACTAAGCTTCTGAACCAGTTCAAAGCTCATCAATCAATCCAGGAGATGGTCATAAAGGTGAGGGGATGGGGATATGTAACAATTCAGGAAACTGGAGCAACAAATCCAAACCGGCTGAATAAAGCGATTGGAGTTGCTGTTGTTTATCATTCTGATCAACTATCTGCTGGTCTGACTCCATGTCTCGACTCTGTTTATCAGACTATCCACATGCTGGACGACTGACAATGAAGACAGAAATTGATTTTTTTTTTTTTAATATCTTGACTATATTGACTACAAAACAGGAAAAAAAGATCAACAGACCCATTAATAACTAAAACAGCTATAAGCGCAGGCCCTAACTTAAAAAAAAATACTGTAGTCAGATTGTATTTGGGTACTGATACTGGCCTTACATGCAGATCCAGAGTTGTTCTGGTGTTTATAAATGGCTGCCCGCCATGTAAAAGCCAGTCTCTCTCCAGCCTATCAGTTAGTCAGACTGGGCGTTGTCTCACTAGATGAGCACCAGACCTTTGTGGCTGTTGCTCATCTCTGTGTCACTGACTTATTTCAGACCTTTTGGGCTGGAGGTCGCTCCTCGGTCACACTGAGGGTTAAGTATATTTTTAGGCCCAAGGATGGGTGTGGCAGTGCACGCAGAGGACTCTGTGGTCTCAGATGCACCTCCCAGTCTTGCATATGGAAGAGATTATTCCATTTCTGAGTTTCACTCTAAATGAGACTTGACTTTCCGATCCTCGAGTCACAGCACGGAGTGCACAATAGGCTTCTGTAAGGTGCAGAGGTAAGGTGGGATCAAAAGAAAAGTGAAATTAAAAGGCTTAAAGGCTGCCTAAAGGGAACATAAATCACCTTAATTACACACCTAAAGTCAACACAAAGATTTCCAACCAAAATTCACCAGTCTTTAGGACACAGAGAGCTGAAAGCCTTCGCTTTCTGAAAGTCATCAAGAAAGACAGGACACTGCAATTTGCCTTATACTGGGGGGGAAAAAAGGCACTCACCTTCTGGCAGGACACAGAGAAGGTTTCGGCGCACGTTTAGCTCGCGCAGAGCTTTGAGTCTGCCAATGTGACGAGGAAGAGCTGTGATCTCGTTGCAGCTGATGTCCTGCAGAGGACAAAAACAAACGAGGGGAGTGAGCGGTTAATATTTATGATTAGTAATTGTTTGAAATGCTCTCGGCAGCACGGGAGCAAACATCACAGCTGAGCAGATGGTGCAAAGTCGAGCTGGGTTTTCATGCTGAGAGGACGCTGCTGGAAAGTTAATAAGCAATAAGACTTTAATACCATATCACACACATATACAGAGTCCAGGTATAAAGAAGAGGTGAGAGCAGTGATGTAGTTGCCTGAGCACAAAGAATTAAACTCATACTGACAAGAAGTGAAATAACAGTAAGCAATGGGAAGCTTCCAGGTTCTGAGTTATCTCAGATTTGTTTGAGCAGACAGTAGCTGCTTTTAGCTGAAGTGAAGGACACTTCTGACTGACATATGAAGGAGTGGGAATCAATTAGAAGAGACAATGTGCGATGAGCTAATCACTTTATATGTGGGCGGGGCTTTAGTTTAGAGTCAGGCTTTGCTCACGACACTTCAGCTTATTTCATTTTCACCCTAAAAAGACTGAAAGTGATGATGTACCCCGATTGTCCTGCTGCTGACCAGAACTAGACCGTTTTCAGCTAACAGGCCAGGATGAGGACTGTCATTCTCATTAGCCTCTGCTCCCTGCACAGGAGTGCTAACAAGCAATGTGATTGTGTTGCCTGCCAGCAATATTCCATGTAAAGAGCTAAAACAGCATCATTGTGGCATACTGACTCTCCTCTGAAACAAAACGGACAGTGTAATGGGTCATGAAAATATCTTCCTCATCAACCAATCTGCCAGTGCTGCCATCTGCTGATTCCTTGTTTGCACAGCTCTGTCAGTCCTTGTAAAAATTCACTCTGTTCACAAGTTTGACCCAATCAGATCAGGTCGGTCAGCATCACGCATATTGTGAATGAGTTAATCACAGCACACCACCACCACTGGATAAAGTGAAATATCCCACAGATCACTATCAGTTGTATATATTATGCAGCACTTTATTGTGAGACTTGTTTGATTTAGAATAAGAGATGCTGTTGTGGAGGAAAAAGTAAAAAATAAATGTCTTATTATGAGTTTAAGAAGAAAATTCCATTTCATTTCTTCTGCTTATCCAAGGCAGGGTCCTGGGAGCAGCACTCTAAGCAGAGAAGCCAAAACCTCCCTCTCTCCAGCTCATCAGGGAGAACAACAGAGAGATATAATCTCTCCATCATGTCCTGGTTCTACCCCAGGGCCTCAACCTAGGAGGCATCCTAGTCAGATCCATGAACCACGTCAGCTGGCTTGTTTTGATGTGTGGAGTAGCGACTCTACTCTGAGCCCCTCCCGATTAAATGAACTCCTCAGCCTTTCTCTAACAGACAGCCCAGCAACCCTTCAGATTTTGCTGCCTGTATCCGTGATCTCGTTCTTTCATTCACTACTCCAAGCTTGTGACTGTAGGTGAGGGTAGGGACGTAGATCAACTGGTAAATCAACAGCTTCAGTTCTCCTCACCACAACAGAACAGTACAGCATCTGCAGCCAATGTCCCAATCCATCTGCCGATCTCCTGCTCTGCTCTCCCCTCAGTCGTGAACAAGACCCCGAGATACTTAAACTCCTCTCTGACCCTGAGTGGGCACTACTCAGGGGCACAGAATCGACGATCTGATCTGATTTGTGTCTTTTTTCAGAAAAAAAAGACACAAATCTAACATCAGAATGAGCCAAGGAAATATAAAAAGAGAGTGACGACGTATGTCCCTAAATTTCATGTGACACATAAAGCTTACTGAAGAAGGGCTAAAAAACATAAGCCATAAATCCTCTCCAGACTGGGATAAAAGCAGTGAGCAGCACAACTGGAGCATAAGATATTCACATACAGACAAAGAAACACAAAAATAGAAATATTATTACTCACTCCTGAGTGCCACAGGAATAAACCAACACAGTGACACAAGTGGTAAAACAGCCTTACCAGCTCCATGAGCCTCTGCAGTTGTCCAATGGTCTCGGGCAGGCTGACCAGCTTGTTGTTGCTGGCGTTGAGGACTCTCAGAGGTAAACCACACAGGCAGGCCGGCAGGGAGCCCAGCTGGTTACGACTGCAAACACAAATATCATTCAGTCGAGGGGATCACTTGTGCTCATGTGTTTTTTTTCTTACACCACTTAGTATCTTTAAAGAGCTTTAAAATAAAAAAAGATTAAAACGGTAAAAGCCATTCCTTTTACATTGGACTACAGGTGAACTATAAGCTGATAAGCTGATCATGACGCAATTATAACTTTGTTTCTAAACATTTATGTTCCACACGGCCCAGTGGGATGTGACTGAAAGGGAGAAGAGCTACATGAATATTTTACCACCAAATCATTCAATGCGTTATTAAGATTACAGTTGGAGAGTTAACGATGAATGCAGGGAAGAATTCCTCACTCCCGAGTAGGGATGGGTACCGGTTCTGACATAAACAGTAGTAACCAGACCGAAAAGCAGCGCACATTTCGGTGCTTTTTTTTCCTGAGCTGTGATACACTTTAGATTCTAGCCAATCATTTTACGTTTCCGAGGATAGTAGGCGGGTCCAGGTACGTACGTTCTTTTAGAGCAGAGCTACAGATTAAAAATGCCCAAGGCGAAGCGGTCAAAAGTCTGGCTGTACTTCACAGCAAAATATGCAAACTCAGCAGCCTGCAACAAGTGCTTTAAGCTGATACTGTGCAAAGGAGGTAACACCTCGAATCTGATGAAACACCTGGCGACGCATAGCGTTTTTTAAAAGCCAAGAAATGCGCGTATTTGATAGCTTGCTGCGAGACCTCACACCGAGCACATCTACTGCGGGTGTGGTGCCTGTTATCAGACCCGGAGTTAGCAACATCCCCCAAAAACCGAAGAGGAGAGTCCTGGCCCCTAGCCCTGCCAGTGTAGCAGAAATGATGAGGATGATGATGCAGCAGCAGCCGTTCTTCTCTGCGTGAGTAGCTTAATGTTGTTCGTGTGTAATTTACGTTGAGTAGGCTAACCACGTTATTACATTAATGCATGTAAGGTGAACTAGCAAACATCATCATAGCTACATGCGGCTGTCTTCTTGTTTGATGGCAGATACTCCCTTCACCCTGGCCAAAAAGGCTAAAATGACCAAAGAAAAAGTGGAAAACAGTTAAACATGAGAGGTTTTTGGACAAAGTTTGTGTTTTTTCCATTGTTTAAGCACTGCTTCCAGCCAAGAGTGATACCATATATGCCCCATAGCTGCAGAAAAGGCTAACATTGTTATCTTTTTACAAAAAAACAGCTGAACATGAGAGGTTTTTGGACCAATTTTGTGTTCTCCATTCTTTAAGCACCGGTTTGAGCACCGTTTAAGCACCGGCACCGTTTCAAAAGTACCGGTTTGGCACCGGTATCGGATAAAACCTAAACGATACCCATCCCTAGTCCCGAGTCTGTTTATGTTGCCGTTTGCACCTTACAGCAACCCTCAGGAAGAAATAAACATGTCACAGCAATGTTTCCTTTTTACTACACACACACACACACACACACACACACACACACACACACACACACACACACACACACACACACACAAATATGAAAACAATGATGTCTTTTTACTATTTTTACAAGAGGAGACACACTGCAGGAAATGCTGTACAGAGGAAGTTATGCTATGGATGGGCAACAGTCTATTGTCTTAGGGTCTCTTTTTTTTTACCTTCATCTCTCTTTTCTAAACAGGACACGACCACTTTTGAATGAACTTTACTCAACTTTTACCAGACCAAAGCTAGCAGGGGTATTGTACTCATGTTCTACACTGTGGGTGCCTGACTGACCTGTACAGTTTGAAGGAAGAAGTGGAGAGTTGTCACATCTAGTGCAAATAACAGATTACACGTGTCTAATAAAATCTGTAGTGTCCAAGCTGGAAGGCCAGCTACAGGGAAGGCAATTCAATATATGAAATTTCCAGGAAATCCCAAAAAATACAACAGGTGTCGCTCCTCCTTTTGAAGCCGTCCTTCATTAGTCACACACACACACACACGCACACGCACGCATTTTCACCACAAGACTGCGAAACCCCGTCTGACTCGGGGTTCTGAAAATAGCAATCAGGAAACATACAGTATAAATGAGTTTATGCAGCTGTTCCCACACATACTCCGACACTGAAGAAAAAGAATGTTACACTTTAATACTATGATGTTGCAAAAGCTCCAGAGGTGGAACAGCCTGACATCCTCTCTGCAGACTGGGTGTGGTACAAGTAGCTACAGTATATTTTAATGGAACAGGTTAATTACACAAATAACTATTAATTCAAATATGCATCGTATATAATAGTATAACAGAGCACATCTCAGTAATGAAACAGATTCCAAATAATAATCCAAACACACTAATTCAACCCACCCAGAAATAAGATCCACACTCTTTGAAGATACTCTTAAATATCTAGAGTCGCTCTGTGTAGCTACATGTTGGCACAGTAGTGCTCTGAGCTACCCTTACTGTCCACCCCTAGGTCCACCCTTACTACTTCTATAGGGAATAAGAGGTTAAGCAGCAGCCAGGTGCTGATGATCAAATAGACTTGACTCATCAGCACCTTTCAGGACCTCTATAAAAGCAGAAATGCTAGCAGTATGCTGGTCTGGAGCCTTCATGTGTGCATTAACAACATGTCCCAATCGTCCCATGAGTGGATGTCCCAGCAAATTCACCCCAAGGTCAGACAATGCAATTTTCAGAGATACAAAACCCTAAAAGCTACATCTAAGACTTTACTGGCCTCAGTTAGCATGTTAAATGTTAAAGTTCAAGACAGCATACTTAGACAAAGCCCCTCCCCTCTCCCTCTAAATAAAACAAACAAACAAAAAGAAAAACATGGCAGCACAGCTAGCTTCACAAAGTTGCATTAGAACAAACCACAAAACCTCTGTAACAATGTCCTTTGGACAGACAGGACAAGAGTGAAATGAGATGTTTGGCCACAATGCACAGAGTCACTTTTGCTGAAAATGAAACACAGCATAGTGGCATAAATACCTTATGCCAGCTGTCTAGCACGGTGGTGGTGGCATGATGATTTGGGCTTGTTTTGCATCCACAGGATCTGAACACCTCACAGTTATTGCACTGATCATAAACTCATCTTTATACTAAATTATTATGCAGTCAAATGTGAGGCTGATCTGATAATGATCTCAAAAACACCAGATCATCAAACCTACAAAGGAATTTTTGAAAAAGGAAAGAACTGTTGCCATGGCCTTCAAAGGAAAAAAGTTTGGCAGAATCTTAAAGGAGCTGTTTGCAACCTAAATGTAAAGTAATAGTGGGCAACTATGTGAGAGACAAAAAATGATTACTTTAAGTTATCTAAGGAGCTTGGAAAGAAAAGAGACTTAACTTCTTGAAGTTTCTTGACAACGTTTCACCTTTCATCCAAGAAGCTTCTTCAGTTCCTCCTTCTAATGGAGCTTCTATGGGTCCTGAATAATATGATGTACCTAGCTTTTTATAGGATTGTAAAATATCCAGTGAAATTTGTGTTTCACATGTAAATGTGTAACACAATGAACAAAGCTATATTATATTGTTTAGAATGTTTAAATTAATTAAACGACGAATTACATGCAATGTGGCAGATACACATCATCAGCTATATTTTCCCTTTAATTTCATATAAACTCAGGACCGGATAAAACCAGATATTTTTCCCCGTAACTAGGACAACAGAAGAAAAGCACCACTAGCAGGACTGTTCTCCTTTTACATGTTGTAAACACTGTGAGGAAAGAGGGCACACAAAATATTTGCAGCTGTGTGGTCCATATTTGGGATTTGTTTTTAACACCCTAGCAAAGTCAATCTTTTTGAATGCATATTTGTGGTCTGGACTAACGGCACTCAAAATAATCACAATGTAGTTTAATGTTATGTTTTACAAAAACTGACATTTTTAAATTTTAGGGAGGAAAAAATACATAATCACAACAAGTCTTACTTTTTGAAATATACTAACAATCTCCTTGTGTTGTAAAAAATAAAAGCACTTATGAGTAAACAAAAGTTAACACTCACAGAGGTCTGCGTTTCAGATGTGCCAGCGAGCTGCTGGACTTTAAAGACTAAAAATATCCTGGAGAGGAAGCAGAGTGTCCATCCTATTTGTCTGTGTGTGTATTAAAGCCTAAATGTGATATTACACTTCCTTTCTGCAACCAAGACTTGCTGCAGTGTTTAAAAATATTCAACACAGACATACTTCTGGTACTTCAGTCTTTGCAAGCATGGGCTCATGCAGTCTGGTTGTTTACTGAGCAGATCAACATTCAAATCATATCATCAGTTCATTTTTTATTACGTTAAGTTACTAATGTAGTCAGTGACAGCACAATGACTGGCAAAGCAGCACAATGTTCCACACTGCTACTAATGGGCTTTTCCAAGAATTTTTACTTTAAAGTCGTAGCTTTACAAAGGCTGCACTGGAGCAACGGCAAAAAAAAAGAAAGAAAAGAAAAGAAAGTAAGAATAAAAGTTACATTTAAAAAAAATCTAACTGTATTCACAGTCTCTTTGTAATGTTGTGCATTGTACTGGGAGACATACACCCCAAAAAATAACAAGATGATGATGGGAGAGGGTGGGGGAGTGTGACAGCGTGGGAAAAGTGTGGTTTAAGAAAACTGCTTTCTTCCAATTCTTTCAGGATGATGTCAAGTTGCAGGAACTTCAAAACAAAGCACAAAGCTTTCAAAGTTACACACCACACCTGCAAACAGCTTGTTTTCTGCACCTGAGGTAAGGTGTGAGTCGGGGTTGAAGTGGTTGAAATGTTAAGACTGCATTGCAGGAGGCAGAGAGCTGGTGTTGTAAGCCACCACCTCTGTTCCATGATGAACTCACTTCTTGCCTCGGGTGACCTCAGTAGGTCACATGATAGGCTGGGGAAAGGTAAAATGTCAAAATCGCTAGCGATTTTTCCAGTCAGGCTACTAAAATCTATCTCAGCCCTGCCCGTCGGGCTATCATAGGAAGGAAAAATATGTCAGTGCTTTTGCATTCTTTCGCAAACGTAGCTGGGCAATTATGGCATCGGCATCGATGAGCCTCTTTCAATATGTCACGTATTGAAATCGCGTTTGAATTTGTGCTTGTTTTTTGCTTTCACTTTCATTTTACAATAGCACAAACTGTGTATAAAGAGCGGCAGTACTGATTGGTGAGTGACGATTAATGGAGGTGAAATGGAGGGCAATGCACAGGAAGAGAAAGCTGATGAAGGAGATGCTATGCCCTCAACGTCGAGTGGCATTTTCTCATCTGTGACTTCAGTGGAAATTTCAGATTCAGGATCTGACACAGACTGATTCATGTTCTACAAAGTTCTTACACGTTCACAGAAATTTCTGTTCAATTAGAACCAAATATTTGAGTTGATGATTCTAATTTTTATACAGTTGTTATAATTTGTGTTTTAACAAATTTTTTTTTGATTGATGTTTTGTTTCATTTACAATATTATACAATAAAAATTATCTTATTTTTTATTTGGGCTACTTAAATTTATTTTGGGCTACCAAAATCTGAAGAATGCCTGCCCAAAGGGCTATCAGGAATTTTGAAATTTTGCGGGCCCTGTATATGATTGTGAATGGACTTTGAGGGATGTTTTGTATGTGTTTTGATGTAAACTCCCATGTATTTCGTCAATAAAAGGCATTAAAAAAAAAAAAGAAAGGAGAAAAAAAAAGGTCTCACAGCCATTTCAACCTTATAGATACCTTGGAACTTGGGAGTGTCGTTAAGGCTGGGTATCGATTTCGATTTCTATACTCGATTTGATTCCGATCCACAAGGTTTTATTCAATTTTGACTCAGACAGTCAGAAATATTATAATTCTGATCATTTATGAGTACATATCCATATTTTTATATCTATGTTTAACAACAAAGATGACACTTGTGAGACTTCATCAGAGGTGCAAGCATCACAGCAGATGCCTTTGTGTTAAAATAACTGAGGATAAAACACAGAAAAACATGAAGGAAATTTTTCTTCCCTGGCTTTTTATAGCAGATAACCTGAAAATATTTTGCAGTAGATCAAAAACTGAAGAAAACCATGACTCAACATATGAACATTACCTGATGCTGCTGACGTGAAGCAGAGCAAAGTTACAGAGGTTTAATTAGAGACACAGCTAAGTGTTTTGAATAATTTTAAAAAGTTTATATTTCTTCGGTATTGAACAGCAGAAATGAGGCTTTCTTGTTAGAGGTCATTTTAAAAAAACAAACAAAAAAAAAACAACGACTGACAGCACCTTCGCCCATGTGACGACTCATAAAACAGAGGGTAGGGTTGTGCCATATGACGAAAATCTCATATCCCGATATAAAACATTTATCGTCCTGACAACGATATAAATCACAAAAATGTAATATTTTCTGTAAATTCTGTTCATCTCAGGCAACTCAACTTGCGTGAAGTTTTTACAGCTGGGCGTCCTTTACCTGCATTCGAGTGTTTTAACCGATGCATGACACTATACATTTTTAGTAGGGGTGCAACGATACACAAAATTCACGGTTCAGTTCGGTTCGGTTCGATACTTTGGTGTCACGGTTCGATATTTTTTCGATACAAAAAAATGTTCATGCCTTTTTAATTTGTCATGTATTAAAATTATAAATATATATTTGAACTCAAAAGTACAGCTTTTAAATTTAATGTTGCTGAAACAACAACAACAACAAAAAGTGATTTCTCGATCAGATAGATCGAGAAATCACTCATCTTTGGAAAAGAGAGTTTATTACAGAGAAATGTCTCTTTCCAAAATAAAAGCTATACTATACGCTTCTTCTGGGCTATATTCTAAGCAGCATATTAAACATATCAGGTCCCCATAAGGAGAATCATGTGCTAACAGATGTCTAAATGACTCGGGTAAAGTTTGTAGCATGCTGCTTGTTGTTGTTGTCTGCTTCCACTTGTCTTTGCACTAGGATGATATCGGCGTAAATGTGCAGTCGTTGTGTTCCCACTAGTGCTGTCAGCGTTAATCTCGTTAAAATGACGTTAACGCCATAACGTGGCAAATCTCCATTAGTGAGTTACCGTGCGTGGGGCTGGACGGCGTCAACACGTTAACGAGCTAACTGCGCTAACGCACTAGTTCCCACCAATGTAATTGAGCATTGCGTGGCACATCCGACATACTGGTTTACTTTTGTCCATCAGGGTCATACTTCACATGAAAACCAAAATAGTTCCAAACGCCAGATCTGAATGAGGGTGGGGGAGGTTCAATTTCAGGTAGCGTTGAGGCAGTTGCCATGTTGCAACGACCTTAGCTTCTGTCTTGCTAGCTTGCGCTGCGCTCAGTGGATCTGCGCTGTGCAGCCTAGGCGGAGTAGTCGAGTGCAGATCCACTGAGCGCTCAACACAGACATCATCGTCAGAAGAAAAGTTGATAAAATAAATTTAAAATTTTGTATTGTTCGATACATATGCGTACCAAACCGAAAGCACTGTATCGAACGGTTCAATATCGATACGAGTATCGTTGCACCCCTAGTTTTTAGACATAAGTTGTAACGGCCACCATTTGAGTCTAACGTTTATTTTTTAGCACCTGACGGCTCTTTTTTTCCTTCTCATTTGTAAACTCTTGCATACTCTTTCACGTGATTCAGTTTATTTTGAAAAGTCTCAACAGGATCTTAAGCTTAAACAAACAAGCGGACGTAAAAACAGGCGCTTGTCCGTCCGTAGTGTGGTTATATTAAATATAAGAGAAAGAGAGAACTTTAAGAAATTAATATAGCCAATACAGTGACCATCAAAACGATGAAAAAATATTGCTGTAAACAGTTCATTTTACGACACCACAAAACAAACGATAGCGTAACAGGAAATGATAGACGTTTTTATATCGTCATCAAATATATATCGTTATATCAAACCGCCCTAACAGAGGTCATATGAGTCAATGGCCCGCAGGAAGATATCCAAAGGGGACAATCAACCATTAGTATTGAAATACCTGGGACACCAATTTGTTTTTGTAGCTGAAGAAGCCTCTTGGATGACAGGGGAAACTTCTTTACAAACCTAAAGATGTCCAGTCACCTCCTTGTGTTCAAGCTTTCAAGGCTACCATGACCTAGAAGACTGAGAACCTGCTAGTTTATTTGACTGACACCTCTTCTCCTACCCTGCACAAACCAAACCAGGGGAGAGAGGTGGGAACTAGAGTGTCTTCAAAAAAATACAACAAACACTTAACCTTTGAGATGTAGAGTCACAAAACATTTCAGGCCGCCTTCACTTGCAGAGTGTGACAGATATGATACAATGAAGAGAGTGGCGAAACCTTGACCTTTAAAGGCAGAGAACAGCACAGTGTGTGAAGATCAACATAAGCCGAGTGTATCAAAGGTTTACAGTCAACTAACAGTTCACTGAACATCAGCTATGTGGGATGACACTTGGCAAAATGATCACCCTGCAGCATTGTTGGCACATCACACAAACACGGACACACACCTGCATTGACCCCAGGCAGCAGTACAACAGCTGAGATGGGCCGAACACTGAAAGCGCTACCACCCAAAGCTGACACACAATAGCAGAGTCTGCCCACATTAAAGGACAATAACACTGCTTTATTTATGCTCTGTCACTCTCATTCAGTCTGATGCTGTGTTCAGAGTGCGGAGCCTCAAATCTGACAGGAGCCACACGCACTCACAGGTCCTTCTGTCTTTGTGAGGACACTGATATAATGCGTTACCTACGGCTTCTCTTTAGTTGTCACAACTAATTACAACACCCTAACCCATAAGGACAAGGTTATGGTCTCTCAGGACTAGTTTTTCCACGTATTGTGCAAGACGCACAGAACTGTACAACTGTGCATTCGTTTTTTCTTTTTTTTTGTCAAATTCTCATGAGGGTAGAAGAAGCAGAATAAAAAGACAAAATCAAACTGATCTCAAACCATGTACATCTGTCAAATGGCTTCACCCACAATGACAAACAGTAAGAAAGAAATGCACAATGTCTTACTCCTTACCTTCCCACAGCATTAAGTGCATCTGAATATCATATAACGATGTTGCTCTGACCAGCAGAGGCACTACTGAGCAGAGCTCCTGCTGTGGCGCCCTCTTTGCCAATATAAAGAATTCTGGATGTAATTTTTACATAACTCAAAACACTACACACTGTATATTTATTGTATTTTAGCATATGAGAGAAAAAGAACCACGGTATCAGGAACCTTTTAGAAATCAAAGCATGCAGCTCGACAGTTGTGATGCAGCATCAGTGAGTGTAAAACTCCATCTGTCTGAAGAAAGTATTTAAAATATGCTAAAATTATGCAGCATCACATTATTATACTGCATTTATGCAAAAACACAGAGTGTTGTTTAATACCTAGTTAATGGGTTTGATGTTCATAAAACAGAGGTTTCACTCCCTCAGTCCCTGCTGCAGAAAATGTTCCCATATCGTAAAACAGCAGTGACACCAAGTGTGTCGATGTGTGTACCTGAGGTTTAAGGAGGTGAGCGACTGCAGGCTGATGATGCTGTCTGGGATGGACCTGATGCAGTTGTGGTACAAGTTTAGTGTTTCCAAGGCAACCAGATGGCATACCTCTGAGGGGACGTCGGTTAGTCGGTTTTTTGACAGGTCTGCAATGGAAACCAAGAAAAACAACGTTTAGAACAATTAAAGGGCACATTGTAATAATAAAAGATGCAAAGGTAGCAATTTGAGTAGTAGTTGAATGAAATATTAAACGTTTTAAAAAACAAAAACAAACTTTGACATCTGGTGTGTTAATTGTAATAAAAATCAAAAATAAGTTGAAAGACAGGTAGCACCACAGACTAATATAAAGGTCTGAAAATGAATCCAATGTGTCCTTTTTCTTATGTAAAAATCAGAGGAGTGGCTCTTTAAACAGTCTGACTGGATGGAAGTCTGAGAAAACAGTTTACCTCCTCCATAAACTTAGTAAGCATAGCCCAAGTTGCTAGTTTGAATTGGTTTTCAGTTCGGCCCTGAGTACAATAGATGGTGATGCCATGTTTTAAGACATGGCATGCATAGTGACTTGAGGTTCTTAGTCAGTTCCTCCCTAAATTTGTTGTCTAGTTTCAAGGGCCAAGACTGCGACAGCCCAAACAGTCCACAAATCAATGGGTGACCTCATAATGCCTCCATCAATTTTTTTTATACACTGTAGTTTTCATTAAAAATATGGTAACCTGATTTAACATATACATAACTCGTACAGTCCTCAATTTTGATTAAATTCAGTGACTTATTTGATGACAGAAGGATAACCCGGGCTGTGTTTTATTTGCTGTTGGTGTTAAAGTCTCTGTAAAACATTGCTCATAAGGTAATTAAATATATTTCAGTACGATATAAAACTTTGTAATCACTCTCGTCGGAGCTGGACCTACAACAATTTACTGTAATGCACTATACACCTATTTGCACACCCAACAATAACACATGCATTAAGATTTCTCGCTCCGTGTATTGTACAACATGCAGATTTTGGACTAAATTCTCTCTTTCCTTGTAACATGGAGCACCACAGACACGCCAGCAGAGGACCGTGAATCTGAGGTACGACTGACGTCAGACTCAAGGAACTCAGCATTTGACATGAGGACTCAGGTCAGCTGCTCAAGCCAGGACTGGTGACATCACTTCCTGCTGTAACTCAGCAACAATAATATCAACTTCAGTTATCAGCAACCCAGTAAGGCCAAGAAATGTCAGTGCAATTATTCCACATTGTTCTGCCGAGGCTGAACTCTGAGCCTCTTGAAAAACACATTTTGTTTTGTTAATGGTGCAAGAACAGCACAAGAGTTCATTTCCTCTGGTGGAAACAATCGGGGAAAAGTCATGTTGTACTTTTGTATTCAGTATTTATAGTCACGGTTTTCAATTAATATCCAGCAAGACTATGAGCAGAGACCTCGTTGCTATTTTTTTTGTTATACTAATGTTCCAGAGTTATGGAACAAGAGAGGTACTGCCTAACAACCAGGAGTAATCCGGAATTCTTTTATTTGATATTAAACAGACCAAAGCAACAAATCATCTCACAGCAGTTGTGTTTTTTATTTGTAGAGGGAGCTGAACTGGTTGCAGAAAGTGTCACATTACATATAATATAGCTAATATAGCAATTAGCTTCTGCCAATGCCATGCTAATGTTGCTAAGATGGTGTGGGCCATTTTTCAACCAGTGACAGCTGGGATAGGCTCCACCTCCTCCAAGCCTAAGCTGGAAGACCAGGTAAGAAATATGCAGAAAAATGCAGTAACAAAACCATGACCTTCACACAAATTCTGTCCCTTGACTTAACTATGATGACACACAGGAACAGATATATATATTTTTCCATCATAAAAATGTCTACAAAAATAAATGACAATGAAAATAGGGCACTTTTACTGAATGTGCTTTGTAAGCTGGTGAATAGTACAAACACCAAACTGTACAAACAGCTCCTCTGAGGCACAAGTGTAGCAGGCTTTCATCAATTTAAAAAACAAAGAGAAAAAAAGAAAATCACATCTGCATCTGGGCATCAGCCACACGTAGAACGCATTGCATCATGGATCACACATTAACAGGAAGTGCTATTTAAAACACTGAACGAGAAACAAAGAGCCCGCCGGTCCTGCTTTCATCCGGCGAGCAAACGGCAGCAAGCTGACTCAACTCACAACAACACAAAGCTATTACTGGCAGGGCGTATGTGTGAGTGTGAGCGTAAGGTGCGTTCAACACCGTTAATGCTCTTATTAATCTCCAAAACAACACTGTGGAAACTGTAATGCGTTCAAAGCTGCAGTGACCTACTATAAACCACGAGACACACAGGGACAGATTAAGGACATGTCGATCCTACAGACACACATCTGTCAAGATACATTGGCCTGTATCTATATGTGAGGCCATGTAAGGTGACACAAGTGATGATGGAGGCCTCAGGACATTTAGTCCATGACATACATAGATCTTCTTTTCACTCATATCAGCAATACCAGCGCTCAGGCCTGACTGAGTGTTTACACAGACGCACCTGTGACCGTTTCTGAAGTTTCGTGTTTTGTTGATGGCACCTGTTAAAATCCTACACTTGGATGGATGGACGTGGCACTATGGCAACAACATATTTTAGGGATGCAGCGAATTGTTGTTTGGATTGGACATCTGTGCAATATTGAGTGAAAAGGCAGGATCCAGTATCACTGACAATGGGCTTATTTCTGGGGATGATCCATCCAGTTCATTCAATTGACTTTACAAAGTTCATGACTGATATTTAAGGAGCCACTGTGTGACTGAGTGTGATGAGAGTTTTTCTACTATAGATACCCTTTTTAAGAAAATAAGATAAAGCAAATAAGTTTCAAACTTCAGCTGCAGTTATTACTTGCGTTTTGATGTAAGAAGAAAGAAAATGTTAAACATGGTAACTCAGGTATGATGTGAACGTAGCTTGAGGCTACAACTAAACCAGTAAGGGCGTAAAGGCGAAACCTGCTGTTTAAATGCAGTCCTTTTCAGCCATACATCTTTTTTTAAGCCCTCTGACATCAGTTTTCCCACACTTTTGTATGTTGCATTTTATTCAAGGTTTAATGCCTAATGAACCATTTTAAACAATCTCCATCCCGAGGCCCTGATGCTGCTAAACAATAACAAGGTACTCCCAGTCAACTGCAAATTTAAGCTCTGGATTAGTTTCACAAGAACCCATTACAGAGCCATTAGATAGTTAATCCTGTTTATGGGGGTATTCCTAAAAGCTACAAGTCTTCATGCTGTAAATACAAAACGCACACACACACACACACACACATGCCACACCCTGAGAAGCAGGCGTGGGGCTTCCTGTGTTAATAACAAAACTCTCCCTCTCATATGAAAAAGGAAATGACCTATTGCTGCCACTGTGTGACCTCTGACTTAAGAAGAAGAAAGAGAAGAAGCCTGCTGCAGGAACACAATGACTTTACTTCGCCTAAACCTGATTCAGCATCTTTTTAAGATGTGAAACAACACATGAGTATTTTTCTGCCATTCACTGTCAATCCAACTCAGACATCTAGGACAACGTGCGGGATTATGAACATTGCAATTAGATGAAATTCAACTGTGAAAACTGATACTTTATCTCTTGAGCTTCCTTGTTTATACCCCACAATTTGTTAGAGCCAGACTTCACCTACACTGCTGCTGGTGTGAGGAGGGAAACCACTGATTAATGAATGAATGTGTATAAACCAGTTAGCGGTACCAGGAGACTAATCATTTACTGGGCAACTGTTTGCAACAGATTCAAGATCAGGTTCAACAAGGTGCTGGAAAAATCTTCAGAGATTTCACACAGTTACTGTAGATCCCGTTGGCTGCACATCCACAATGCACCATGCTCTACTGGACTGAGATCTGGTGACTGTGGAGGCGATTTACATACAGCGAATTCATTGTCAGGTTCAAGAAACCAGTTTGAGGTGATTTGAGCCTTGTGGCATGCTGTGTTATCCCCGCTGGAGTCTCTGTAAACCCTAAAGATGGCTGTGCAGGAAAATCACAGTTAGTTTCTGAAATACTCTGACACCAGCAAAGATGCCAGATTAAAAGTCACTTAGCCCGTCTTCTCCACTTAGTTTGACATTCAGCAAGTCGTCTTGTCTTTGCTCGAGTCTACAAGCCTAAATACATTGAGTTGCTGCCATTGACTGAAATTGGTGATTGGCTGATTTGGCATCTGCGTTAACGAACAGTAAACCAGGTGTACCTAATGAACTCTAGTCCACTAAAGTTAACGTAACAGTTACACCTTTTTTTCCCTTAAAAAGAAAAAAAAACTTTGAAATACAAAACTGATCCTTCACAATAAAAAAATAATTCAACAACAACTGTGGGATAAAGACAGCACAGAGATAATAAAGAAGGCGGGTTTTGTATTTTTTTTTTAACAAAATGTTTCCTGTGCAGATGTTTCCTATTAAAAGCCTTTTAATCCATCTGAAGGAAGTTTTATTGACTTGTGTCAGCACAGTAGACTGGACATAACTGCAGCAGCGTTGTGAGTGTTACATTAATGTGCAGTCTTTGAGGATACAATTTCATGTAATTCAGTTTTACTGAGTCAAGACACATCAGAGCAGTGACAGTGATTTAGTACGGTCAACACAATACTGTGAAGACATTACATATGCTTGCTGGGGATTTTGATTTTGGCATAAAAGACGTGAAAAATTAAATGTAAACATGGAAAAAAAAGGGTTCTAATAAGATGTTTAGGACACCATGTGACTATGCCTGGGCAATATGGAAAAAAAACACCCACCTTACCATGATAACTTGTTTTATATCAGTGATATCAATATATATGACCATATAAATCACTATATCTGTTAGGCTTAACAGTTCCTTTTTACTCTTCATTTAAGATATCTGGGTAATTTGTAATTTAAATATTTATGTTCTGTCTGAAGTTGAACATAATAAATGTACCATAGACCATTACACAGCTGTGCTTTAATCAAATAACATAAATATATGTAACAAAATACAAAAACTAAAGTTTTGAGGACACAATCCTACAAATATAAAAAGAAATAAAAAACAAAACAAAAAAACAAA